TCTATTTTATCTTGGTTACATATGACTGGTATGCACTACGCAAGTATTGAAGTAACTGGTAAGATTCATCCTATAATTATCTTAGGTAGTACGTCTATTATATGTTTCTTACATCCCTTTTCTCGCTTAGATAACATGGTTGGATTCCATCTCCCTGGCGACCCATACATTCCCGATCAAGGAATTGGAGGTTGGCTCGAAGCTGATCCCGAGAACGAGGAGCCGGTGGTCCCAACAAAAGAAGACCCCAAAGAGAGTTCTTATGAAGAGAACGAGGAGGAAGTCCAAGACGACTTGGAATCAGAACCAGAGGTCTACAATCTACCCCAAGTTACTGAAAATCCTAACCCTCGTCTAGCTTTTCAAGGCCCGATGCCTTTGTGGGTGGTGAACTTTGGCAGGTGGAGCCATGAGCAGGGACAACCACCTCCATACAATAGAGACCGAAGATTCTACAACCTAAATGAGGGAAGTTCAGCAGACAGAGTCCTTCCTATTATGGTTTTTTGGGTTGCTCGCAATGCCGAACAGGGAAGAGCAAACTTCGACCAAGTCATGGAGATCCGTGCTAACTCTAGAGTCAATACAGTTTGTCTTCGTAATCTGACCGATGACCAGAACTTTGAAAAGTCTCACACTAGCACCCTGCAGGTGGAGCTGAATGCATGTCGATATGAAACTAGGGATCTTCATCAGAACCAGGTAGCATTGCAAAGGCGTGTGTGGGAAACGGAATAACAGCTGGTTGAAGCAAGGGTTGAATCAAGTACCAACCAGAACAACTCCCCTCACAATTAGAGCCTACTATACTCTATCCTTTGGATATAAATTAGGTCTATGTATAGACTCTCGTATTAACTTCCTTCTGATGTTAAAGACCTTGAACTTTCAGTCTAGTAGGTCTTTGATCTATCAAAAATTTATCCTTTCTTGTATGATGTAAGATCTTCTCCAAGGTTAATTTTCCCGAACTTATGAATCTATAATGCCAATGATATTGACAGACATCTAATCTCATGGGAAATATTTATCCAAATGCTTTCATCCATCTATTGTTAGATCTCTATTTCAATTATACTCTCATTTGTTTTGTTAGGCTATGGTGACTTAGTCCATGGACCACTCTCATTATTCTTACTATTGAATGCTTTCTATCGTCTTCATCTTTGTAAAATTTTAGTTGAACAATGCCTCCATGTAGAGTGACAAGATGCAATCTACCGATAACTCTAACTCAACCACCAGCTCCTCCATAATACGATCCTGCAGCTCTCCAAGCTGCGGTGGTTGTGGCTGTTACTTTAGCCTTAGCTCAATTCATTGCTAGCGGTACTAGCGGGAGTGGAACAAATGCACATTATACTCAAGGTGATGCTCCCGTGCGCTCTAGGGAATGTTCCTATAAGGACTTCACCAACTACAAATCCAGAACCTTGATTGGGACTGGGGGAATCATTTCCCTCTCGCAATGGTTCAAGAAAATAGAGTTAATCTTTGAGATTTTCTCCTTCCTGGAAGGAAGCAAAGTATATTTGTTGCCTGCACCTTCTCGGGCAGAGCCATAACATGGTGGAATAGCCATGTCAAGTCACTTACTCTGGTAGTGGCTAATGTAATGGGCTAGGAAGCTTTAAAGGAGCTAATGATTGAGGAGTATTGCCCAAGTGGCGAAGTTCAGAAGCTTGAACAGGAACTTTGGAGCCTAACCATGAAGGGTTCTAATATAGTTGCCTACACTGCAAGATTCAATGATCTGCTGGCCATATATCTAGGAATGATCCCTACTGAGGGAAAGAAGGTCGAGAGGTATATTTGGGGGCTGGTGCGTCCATTCCAGGGGAATGTCTTAGCTTTAAACCCCACTACCTTCAACAGTGCCAAATGATTGGCATAGCGGCTCATCGATCACGGAGTCTGTACACCGACAACGACAACAACCCTTGCCATCGCTGAACCATCCAAAGCTACTGGCAACAAGCGGAAGTTTTGGGACAAGAAGAAAGGAAACACGATGTAGAACTCTGCCAAGAAGCAGCATGCCAATCACCCAAGTCCACGACATTGGAGTGGTCTAGGCTTGATACAAGTGCAGCTTGCCAAAGTACAACAACTACAGCTTCCACAACAAACGGAACCTGTCGGGAAATGCAGTGCGCTAATTGCAACAGGAAGTGGCATACTGCTCGTTTCTACAAATCTCCGGCTAGGACAATAACCTATGTCCACGGCGTTGGAGTGGGCCAGGCTTGATAACGATGTGGCAAGGCGTGTCACTAGAAGAGGAACTGCCCAAAGGTAGGGAATGCTGGAAGAGTGGGTAGGGTTTGGCGATAGGCAACGATGAAGCGGTAGCAAACCCTACAGTGGTCGCTGGTACGTTTCTCCTCGGTAACTCTTATGCATGAATACTGTTTGATAGTGGAGCGAAGAGGAATTTTGTGAACCAAAAATTTTCAAACTTACATAAAAAAATCACATACACTAAAATAACCGTTCACCATTGAAATGGCTAACGGAAAGAATGAGAGCACTAGCTGTATATACATAGGATGTAAATTATCTCTAAAAGTTTCGACTTTATTATCGACATGGATTGGTTGAGTCTTCATCATGCTAATATCATGTGTTATGAGAAGGCCATTCGTCTTAATCTAGCATCTAACGAAACCCTAGTTATCTAGGGCGACAAACCTGGCACGAACCTTCATATCATTTCGAGTATACACGCACAAAAGTACTTACGATAGGAATGTCATGTATTCCTTGCTTTGGTAGTGCATACGAGCCAAGATACGAAAGACATAAAGAACATCCCAGAAGTACGTGAATTTCCCGACATCTTTCCAAAAGAACTACCAGGATTACCACCACAACATCAAGTGGAGTTCAAAATCGACTTAGTTTCAAGGGCTACCCCAGTAGCCAAATCACCCTATTGACTAGCACCAGCTGAGATGCAGGAGCTATCTGGTCAACTATACGGACTACTCAGTAACGGTTTTATTAGACCAAGCTTCTCACCATGGGGAGCACCGGTCTTATTCGTGAAGAAGAAAGACGAATCGTTCCGTATGTGCGTCAACTACAGAGAACTAAACTAGCTTACTGTCTAGAACAGATATCTTGTAGCTCACATAGGTGATTTGTTCGATCAACTACAAGGGGTAAATTACTTTTCAAAGATTGATACAAGATCCGACTATCACTAGTTACGAGTATTAAAGGAAGATGTTTCCAAAACAACCTTTTGAATTCATTATGGATACTATGAGTTTGTAGTGATGCCATTCGGATTAAGTAATGCGCTCACAATATTCATGGACTTAATGAAAATGGTGTTTCGTCCTTACTTGGATCGATTTGTTATTGTATTCATCGATGACATACTTATCTTCTCTAAAAGTAAAGTGGAGCATAGTCAACACCTGCGTCAGATCTTAGAAACAGTATGATTAGAGAAGCTCTACGCGATGTTCTTTAAGTGCGAATTTTGCATTCGAAGAGTCAAATTTTTGGGTCACGTGGTATGTTAAGAGGGAATTCACGTTGACCCTTCCAAATTTAAGGCCATTGAGAACTGATCAGCTCCAAAGACGCCTACAAAATTTCATCAATTTCTAGGTCTCGTTGGGTACTATCACAGATTTATTGCGAACTTCTCCAGGATCGCAAAACCGCTTATTACGTTGACCCAGAAAGGTGTGACCTTTGACTTGGAAGAGAAACAAAAGAAGGCGTTCCAAACTCTGAAGCGAGCTTTATGCAGTGCACCGATACTATCCCTCCCAGAAAGGATAGAAGACTTCTTGGTTTATTGTGATGCACCCAACCAAGGGCTTGGCTGTGCTCTTATGCAACAAGGAAAAGTCATCGCCTATGCCTCAAGAAAGCTAAAGACACATGAAGTCAACTATACCACATATGATCTTGAGTTAGGAGTAGTGGTATTTGCTCTAAAGATCTGGAGACACTACTTGTATGGTATGAAGAGCATTATCTTTACACACCACAAAAGCCTTCAACATATTTTCGACCAGAAGGAGCTCAACATGAGACAATGACGGTGGGTCGAGCTACTCAGTGACTACGAATTTGAAATTCTTTATCATCCCAGTAAAGCCAACGTAGTAGATGACGCCCTAAGTACGAAAGAATACTCTGGTCGTAGAGTCAAATCATTGACTATGACTATCCATTCAAATATGTCCAAACAAATTAAGGAGGCTCAGCTAGAAGCCTTGAAACCTGAAAATGTCGTGGATGAATCCATGAGAGGGATGGATAAAAACTTGGAAGTCAAGGGTGGCTGAGCCTTATGCCTCCTGGATCGGATCTGGACACTGAAACTCGGAGGTTTCAGATCCTAGGTCATGACCGAAGCGCACAATACTCGATATTCCATCCACCAAGGTTTAGATAAGATGTATCTGGATCTCAAAAAGTTATAGTGGTGGCTTAACATGAAAGCAGAGATTGCTACCTTCGTGAGCAAGTGTCTTGTGCCAAGGTTAAGGTCGAATGCCATAAACCCTCAGGTTTGGGCATTCTTTTTATGGACGCTTTCGTTTTAACGTATTCTACGACTTTCGTTTAGATCACTAAGGCTAAATCTCGCTCTATCGTAAATTCACTATTTATGTTTCCCGGTATCATGTCGGTTCCTTCGCGAAAGTTCGACGGGTCATAACTTCTTCGTTATAACTCGGATTTCGGCGGTCTTTATATGTACGAAAACCTTGTATCATATACTAAAACTTGGTTAAGATTATTTATTCTAAATAATATTTTTCCGAAAAGTCATTTTCGACACTTATTGCCTCTAAATTGACTAGCCCGGATCTACGGGCGTTACAGAATCTCCATATACCACAAAATCGTCTTTCGAATCTCTACCTTGTCATTAGCTTAATTTATTTTGTAATTGTTGATTCAAATAAGAAGACTTGTATACTGATAATTCATATATGTCTCCACTTCACATACTTGAAACAAGAACTTTGTCATCTTCCCATTCTTGTTTTCCCTCGAAACACTACACCAAATGGTTGATGTATTATTTCTACATCTTCAAACTTCCCAATATTATCCTTCCCTTTCAACAATGACTGAGGAACCTTCGAAGTTTTGTTAACATCCATAGAAAGCTCAATATCAGTTATTGCTAGGCAAGCAAAGTAGTTATCTATGAAAACCTTAATCTGAGCAAAAAATATAATAAAATCATTTTTGTTCGAATCAGGAAGCTTTGAAACATCAAAATTTCTCAAAATCCTTGTAACCATCACCAATAAAACTCATGAGAGGGAAGTCAAAAATTCACAAACCACATTGTTTGACCTCAAGACCAAAAATTTAATGTTTTGTAAAAGACCTTCGAATAAGTTTACTCGAGTGATGGACATCACCTTCACAATCTTTATTGATGACCACACTTCTTCTTCATTTTTCCCCAATATAGCATGAAATAGTATCTTAAACCTTTTGAACTCGTCTTTATCTTTGAAGTTTTCTGTGATTTTGAACTAAGAAGAAGTGAACAAAACATGGTTCACAAGAAAATTAAGTTGACTAAAATAAGAGTTCTCAATGTCATAAATCTTTTTTGGCGCTTTGCAAAAGTAGTCGTTCATCCCAATCGAAACTATATCTTAAATGGTTTCATAAAACCAATGCTTGTTGGGATCACCCTTATTCAATCCAGGTGGGTCATTCTGCCTTCACCTCATAATGCTGTGTAGCTTCCTTTGCTTCTCAATCTCCAAATCCAGTTCCTTTTTTCTTTTCCTCTTTAGAAGGAGTCACCAAAATACGCTTTCCTATATCACCTTCATCGTTTTTTGAAGGTGGTGGCACAAAACCCAAACTTAATCCTCCAGATTTTTCATTTATAATGATCCGTTTTGTTATTCATCTTTTTGTGGTTGTTGTTGAAGTTGCAGAAAATAAAATAAGGAGTCAAGTGGGTATCTAAATCGAAATCACTTTTCCAACCATTGCACCTTTTTCAGAATTTGTTGAAGACTGAATACAACGACATCCTTTACCGCCCCTTGCAACACTTTAATAGCACGAGGAGCATTCGTTGGTAAGTGAAGGACCAAATCAAGGATGAGTCCGAGCTCAGTTTAGTATTTGTCTCAATCTTCGAAATTAATTGAGAAATTGTCTCCTAAGACACTGTTGATAGGGTCGAAAGATCAACATTCAAAATTGACTCCTTAATCCTTGATTAGAATTCCTCTATTTTGTAAAACACCTTAAAATCCTGCTCCGATTTCACTTCAAGCTTGGTTGAATAATCCGTATTGAATTCAACCAACTTCACAATGGCATCTGCAACAATATCAACCTTACTGTGCAACACAATATAATTTTTCTCCATCTTTTCTACTTCTTTAGCCATTGTTTACTTAAGTTCTGCCACCTGAAGATCCACAAATTCTTTCATATTTGTCACTCATTCCACAAAAATATCATGACGCTCCTTGGCAACATCATGAAGGTTTTGTATTTCGTACTTAATTCCCTTAGAGTAAACACACAACCACTCAACCTGTTTCTCTTTAAGGCTTTCAACCAAGGTGTGAAGACAATTCTCTTGCGATCTCAATAAGTACTCCATCTCGATTCTAGTAACACATTTCTTGCCCCTAGTATCATCTTGAATTTGTAGAAGATTATTTATTTTGGAGTTAAGCATTTTGAACTGTTTACCTGACATGATCATGTCATTAGGATCGTTATCCTCTTTTTGATCGAACTACAAATCTGCAAAATAAACCATCAGATCATCATCATTCAGTTCGACATCAAGAATTACTCTCTCCGTCAATAGATTGAGATGAGAAAAGGGTAGTAATAGGTTCATGCATAATTGTGGAGTAAGTTAATGAAATAGTTGAAATTGGTAGTGAAGTTAGGATATATTAAGAAAATGGTGATAGAGAAGTGGATGTTTCAATAGTTGAGGTTTTGATGGTAGAGATGATTGAAACGGGAATAGTGGATGTTGCAAGAGTTAAAGTAACATAAGCTTCTTTGTTCAACACCCCTTCACCCATATTCATATTTATGTTTGTATATTAGATACGTTCACTGTTATTATCTGTTTCGCCAGTAACTTAATCAAGTGGATCTTGACGTTTCTTCTTTTGCTATAATTTCGAGGCCATATCGAATTTTGTTCGATTCTTGTAAGCAGGAGAAGCAGGAACACAAATGTAATTAAACAGAACACCAAGTTTGTTCATTTGGGGTTTGCGAATCTTCTTTAGACCCTTTTGAGAAGAATGAGTATGTGAAGAATCAACCTTGGGTTGCTTAGTTGTATTAATTTTAGGTTCTTGAACTGATGGTCTAACTATAGAATCACGAGGCCTGTTGGTTGGCTTCTTATTTCACTTGAGAATACCAGTCTTCAAAGGAATAAATTATTTAGCAACTTCCTCCTCCACATGTCCTTAAATAGTTGTGGTTTCGTAGTATGTTTCTTTTCCTTCATTACTTTAACAACTTTTGAGGAACCCTAAGCTCCTTTTGCTAGAAGAAAACCAACAGAAATACTAGTATCAATTGTTTCCAAGCACTGAACCAGTCGTGGAGCAGCCAATGTTGAAAACTCAACTTTTTTGTCCTTTGAAAGACCCAAAATCCCTTCTTGTTCAATAACTTCCTGGAGAATCAAGCTGCAAATGTTCACTGTCAATTCCTTGATTAATTGAGGTGTGTGGGCTTCCCCTTCATCACGGAAAAATGACTAAGGATCTTAAACAAATAGTGTGGCAATATCTACATTCTGGTTGGTTTCAACCAGAGATTCCGAGGATATGCAGTGAAGTGTGAGTAAGAGACCGATTAAGGCTTCGAACACATAAAGTCTATGAGGCTTGAGGTCAACATACAACATCATGCTTCAAGGGACTCCTAACTAGTACATTGGTTCAATTCAATACATGTTTCCTTTTTGAATACGATCATTGAGCATTCGCCACAACAACATGTTGTTACAATGAGCCACGAAGAGTTAAGCACAATATGAATTTAAAACAAAAAAAAATCTTTTTTGATTTTTGGTTTTTGAAAAACAAAGACAAAAATAAGAAAATCTTTTTGGAATTTTGTATTCGAAAATGAAAGACAAAAATAAGAAAATCTTTTTGGATTTTTTATATTTGAAACAAAAGAAACAAACCAAACTTATAAAATGTTACCAAAAGACTTTCAAACTAGTGGTTAGAAACCAACAAGTAACATCCCAAAATTCAAGACCAAAAATTTCATTTTTAAATAAGTAATAATAAAACCATTAGTATAAAAGCATCCATCGTGTCATCCCATAATAAAACCAAATTGTCAATAATCAAAATATGTCACAATAAAACATCATCAAAGTATATCTCCCAAGAATCGCAAGTGTGGAAATCATGGTGTGATGTGTTGCAATCATGCTGCCTCCTTTCCCTTCGAACAAGAGGTACTTGAAACCAAAAACTAAAAACTATCAGCACAAAGCTTAGTGCATTTCCCATCATACCACATAACATACAATAAACATACTGTTAGGCATATTTACGTGCCCGACCTACCCTCCTGAGCATGCCTAGGTGCTCAACCTACACATGTCAGGCACACCGGGGTGCTTGACCTACCCTGCCAAGCATATCTGGGTGTCCGACCTACCCTCTGGTTTATCTCAACTGTTCACAGGGTCTATTTCCCCCTTACCACTATCACATAATAACATATCATAACTGTACTGTCACACATATCTGGATGCCCAACCTACACTCTGGTGTATCTCAACCGACTATAGGGTTTAATCCACTCCTCCTACCAGTATTATATAACAACATAGCATACTAGCACATAAAACATAACAAATACTGGCATACCAGACAATTATCACAAAGATAATCATCTACTATAAACAACTACTAGTTTGCCGACATTAGTGCCTTAGACCCACTTCTAGTGGAAGGTAAATCACCTCTTAGGGTAAAATCTCATGGTAAGAAATCTCTAGCGGTAGCTCCGATGACGGCCTCGAGTTATCATTACCATAATAACACTTACTCAAAAACTAATAATCCTTCTTAGGGTAAAATCACCATTTTACCACTGATCTAATTTGGCTAATTCCCAAGGCCCAACAACATAACATGAAAGGCTAAAATATAAATGGTTTTCCAAAACCCACTAGTGGCCCATCAATGGACCAATTTTCTAAATTTTGACCAAATCCTCAAAAGGGCCTTATCATAAGCCCAATATACTCTTAGCCCATAATATATAATTTCAAGTGGCCCATTATGGCCCAAAAGACCCAACACCGTAAATCTCAATTCTTGGCCTAGAGACCTTACTCCTCAGTAGGCGATGAGGCCTAACAATTTGGGCAAACTTCTAAGGCCAAAAAACCCATATTAGGTACTCTGCATCCGTATGTGCGGCGTACTTGGCACATACATGGATTGTATGTTGGCTTTGACAAGAAGTGGGAGGTTGACCCAGTACGCACAGCATACCACGGTGTACGCCCAACGTATTGGAAAACTTCCTTAAGACTCATTTTGTGACTTAATCTGTTAAGTCCTAATGTCCAGAACATAGATCCAGGTCCCTTAAGACAATCTAATCCATAAAGTTATGAACTTTATATCTTTGCATGCAAAGATTGGGGTTAAAACATGATTTAAGTCCTTGAACAAATTTTGTGGCCATCAGAAACTTGCATGGTTGTGGCTTAACCATCAAGGTGCGATTTTTATGACTCTAAATGCTTCCAAGAGCTCAAAAGGGCAACTCTTATCGTCTAGAACTACCAAGACACAAGAAAACTCAACAATGGAATCAAAATAACCCATAAAACTCCCCAGCACTACAACTAAGCATGCAATGGTCATGTTTGAAGCTCGATACCTCAAATCAGCAAGAAATAGTGGTAATGCCTTGGATGCACAAGCTCTCTTCAAGTGCTATCTCCTTCTTCAAACTTTTTCTCTTCAAAATCACCAAAATAACACCTAAATGCTCTCAAATATCTACCAAATCACAAGAACACCCAAATATGGATTAGGGTTTTTGTGAGAGTTGCTTAAAGGTGAGATGGAGGCTGGACTAAGGGCATAAGGTTCTTTATATAAGGATCAAACCTTAAGTTTTAGGGTTTTAGAGACAGCATGAGTACGCTGCACGTTCCCTTTGGTACGATGTGCGTATGTGCATGGCATCCACGTCCTTATCTTTTGAGTATGCTAAGCATACCTTGCATGGTACGCCCGACATAAGTCAATCCTCACCCCAATTCACAAGGACCCAATGGTCCAAGATGAACCCAATTCAATTCATTAAATATAAATAACACCTTATTAGTCCCGGAAGTTACAAATCTCCCCCACTTAAATTAGACTTCATTCTCAAAGTCTCCTGCTGCTGTCGGGAATAACTTGGGGTAAAGCTCCCTCATCTCGTCCTCTGGCTTGCATGCCCATTCTGAGACCTTACGGTGCTTCCACTGCACCTTCAATAGCTTTACTTCCTTGTTTCTCAAAGCCTGTGTCTTCCTGTCGAGAATGGCTACGGGCCTCTCGATGTAGTTCAGGCTATCATCCAGCTGAATTCCCTTCAACAGAGCCACCAAGAAATTATTGGCTATGCACTTCTGCAGGTACGAAACATTAAAAGTGTTGTAGATCTTTCAAAACTCCTCCGGAAGGTCCAACCAGTATGCTACATTGCCCACCCGAGCTATAACTCTAAAAGAACCGAGATGCTTGGCGCCCAACTTGCCTCATTTTCTGAAGCAGATGACACATTTCAAAGATGACACCTTCAGAAGGACCATATCCCAGACATGAAACTCCAGGTCCAATTGGTATCTATCAACGTAGCACTTCTGCCGACTCTGGGCCATCTGGAGCCTACTCCGGACCTGTTAGATCTTCTCTGTTGTCTTAAGTACCACCTCGGTACTCCCCATGACTCTCTGACTGACGTCACGGTAACATATTGGGGTCCTGCACTTCCTCTTATAAGGCATCTCGAAGGGACGTCAATCAATATTGGGGTGGTAGTTATTATTGTAGGAAAACTATGCCAAGGGATGGTAGGTATCTAGCTACCACCGAAGTCTAAAACGTATGCCCGCAACATATTCTCCAAAGTCTGGATTTTTCCGCTTGCTCTGGCCACCTGTCTACGGGTGGAAGGGCGTGCTGAAGTGCAGATGAATAACAAAATATTCATTATAGTTTTTGAAGAATCTGGAAGTGAACTGCACATCCCAGTCAGAAATCACAGAAACCGGCACCCCATTCCAAGCTACTTCCTCCCAGATGTAGATGTCTGCCAACTTCTCGGTCGAAATACACTCCTGAATTGGGATGAAGTGGGCGCTCCTTTTCA